TCATGTAGCGTATGTGAAAACCGTACAACATCTTTATACACAGTGCTTTTTGCGATTTCTATTGCTGTGATGTTATCCCACACGTGCGCGCATACAATGCATGGTAACCTTGGCATGTACATATGACCCCGAGATTGAGCATGTGCGTGCGACTGGGTACCCACCAGCTGTACATGTCCAGCGGGCAGATGTGGGCCCACATGAGTGATGCAAAATCAGTGGCTCCATGATTTACCACAGTTTGGACAGCCCTGTCTGCGATTCTGAACCAAATAAGCAAGCGCAGACAACTGGCTGAGAACCTTGAATGCCCTCCCTGCTTTTCTGTGAATCGCTCGTGCATCTCCGTCGGTGGCGCCTTCGTGCCGGAATTCCCACGCAGGTGCTCCTATCTGAACCATTCTGGCACGCCACGCGACCAGGATTGCATGCGCCAAGAGCGTGACAGAGCTGGCTGAAGCGGCCCAGAGACAATGTACATTGTGCCACACCGCGGGTTCCGAGATAGGTCTGCTCCGTACGCCGTCTGGTTCACCCCCCGCTGTTGTAAATGAACACATGAATATGTATGCCGACAACAATCGTGCACCATGGTTTCCCTCTCGTCTGCCATACAACACCCATGCGCATACGCAGTGCATCATGTTGTTCATGCTGTTCGTGATGCTCATGTCATTCGATTCTACATACCCCCATGGCACACACACGCATACACATGTACCCAATGCCCCACTGACAACGCAGATAATACAGATAACACTGATTGCATTGAGAAGGCCATGCGTTCCAGAACCCCTTACCATCACAACATTGTCTTTCGCCAACGACGCCAGCTGACGCAACTTGATAAACATTGGCGTTGAGAGGAACATCGCGTTCGCTTCTCTTTCAGTGGCTCTCTTCACGACACCTGCGAGCCGACATCCTGCGAACGGCGTGCATGCTGGCCCGGGACAGACACATATAATGAGCAGGAAAGGGAAGGAGGACGGCGGCAAGAGCGAGAGACGAGAGAGGGAGAGCGAGCAGGAGAGGAAAAAAAATGAGAGTGCAATGCGCAGAACGGAGGAGGAGGAGGGACAGGAGGAGGAAGAGGAGGAGGGGGAAGGGGCAAGCTAGGTGCGCTCGCGTCATATCTGACGTCCTACCCCTCCCTCCCATCCCTTACCATGGCGCTGATTTTCTCGATCCGCGGACGCGTGTCGTAGCGGACTTGTGGCTCCGCGCGCGCGAGCCTAGTGGGTGGTGGTGCGCGTGCGTGCGTGCGTGCGTGCGTGCGTGTGTGGTTGTGGTGGTGGTGGTGGTGGTGGTGGTGGTGGTGGTTGTGGTGGTGGTGGTGGTGATGGTGGTGCTGGTGGTGGTGGTGCTGGTGGTGCTGGTGGTTGTTGTGGTGGTGGTGGTGGTGGTGGTGGTGGTGGTGGTGCGGCGCGGTGGTGGCGGGCGGATGGGCGCGCGAGAAATAGGCCCGCGCTGGGGCGAGAACGCCATCCTGAACGACGGAGGCCAAACACCGATCCGAAAATGAGGCCCACGCTGCAGCGGGAACACGGTTCGGAACGATTCGGGAGCAGAAATGAGGCCGGCGTCTCAGCGAGAGCAACATTTTGAAAAAAAAACACAAGCGAAAACCCGTTTCCCGGGAATCCTGTGTGTAAAAAACAATACGCGGGGGGGTGTCGGATATCTTCGGGACGCCATCAGGGGAAGTGGGAGAGTATTTTCATATTGTGTAATTGTAAATTGAAGGGGGAGGGGGAGGAGGAGGAGAGGAGGAGGAGCAGAAGGAAAAGGAGGAGGAGACCAGTCGGAGGAGGAGGAGGAGAGGAGGAGGAGGAGGAGGAAAAGGAGGAGGAGGAGGAGGAGGAGGAGGAGAAGGGAGGGGAGGGGGAGGGGGAGGGGGAGGAGGAGGGGAAGGAGGAGGCGGAGGAGGAGGAGGAGGAGGAGGAGGACCAGTGCAAACCCAAGTTATCAACCACCCACCTTCCAAGCTCCCTATTCATAGGCCCCACAACGGCTCATTTCCATTGAAGGATCTGCCCCGTTGGGAGACAACCGTTTGAAGACCCTGGAGCATGCCAAAACATGGTCCTTCGGATTCTAACGCCACGGATCAATCTGAATATTGCGTGTTGACGATCCTGCATCGTGCTAGAATGCCATTCCTGGGATTTCAGCACAGCGGATCAACGTTACTGTTGTGCCCGCGTACTTCTGAACCTTTCAAAACCACCATATCTGGTACGTTGATGATGGAAATATGTGGAACTCTTCCAACCTTTGTGAACGAATGTGCGCGCGCTAAGGCGAGAGCCACACTCTGAAAAGGAACCGCCCTCGATCCGTGAAGCTCTTGCATTTGTTTGAAACGAATATGCGCCGCGCTAAGGCGACAGCCACATTTTGATAACGACCTGGCATCAATCCGTGAGACTCTTGTCCTTTCTTTGAAACGAATGTGCACCGCGCTCAGGCGAGAGCCACATTTTGAAAACGACCCGGCCTCAAAACGCGAAACCTTTGCATTATTTTAAAAAGCGCATGTGCGCGGCGCTAAGGCAAGAGCCATATTTGGAAACCGAACAGCCTCCCATCTGTGAAACTGTTGTTTGTTGTTTGGCTTCAGAGTTTTAAGTGGTGAGGAAGTCTCTGGCGAAACGCCTGGCCCGCCCTAAAAACTGGTGTCAGGGTGCGACATGGAGAAGTTGATTATTGAATCGCTTCGCTCATTCCGCCGGCCCTGGAGCCCTCTTTAGGGCCTCTTGAGAACCTCTTGGAAGTCTATTGGGGCTCCTTGGCGGCGTCTTCGGGGCCCCTGCAGCCTCTTGGGTGGCTCTTGGGGACCTCTTGGGTCAGGAGAGGGGGTAGTCGATTGCGCCCTTCCCCTCGGAGGCCACGATCCTCGTGAGGGGTGTCGAAAAATTGCTGGCATCTCTGATCCGAGTGTCCTGGGGGTCTCCAAGGGTATTTTTCGTCTAGGGACCCCCAGGGGTGGCCCCGCGCGTGCGAACTAGAATATTGTTTCCAGTTACGGGAGATCTTAGCACGCCCTTAGCCCGTGAGGCCGGCGAATAAGGAAGAGGAACGGAGGAGGAGGAGGAGGAGGAGGAGGAGGAGGAGGAGGAGGAGGAGGGAGAGGAGGAGGAGGAGGAGGAGGAGGAAAAGGAGAAAGGGGAGGAGGAAAAGAAGAGGAGGAGGAAGAGCAGGAGCAGGAGGAGGAGGAGGAGGAGGAGCAGGAGGGAGAGGACGAGGAGGAGAAGGAGGAGGAAGAGGAGGAGGAGGAGGAGGAGGAGGAGGAGGGTGAGGAGGAGGAGGAAAAGGAGGAGGAGGAGGAGGAGGAGCAGGAGCAGAAGGTGCAGGAGAAGGAGGAGGAGGAGGAGGGGGAGGGGTTGGAGGGGCAGGAGGGGGGCTTGGCGGAGGGAAGGAGGGCATCGCAGGGTGTGCAGGGCGTCCAAGAGGAGGGTGAGGACTAGGGGTGTGTGGGTGTGTGTATCTATGTGTGTGTATGTGTGTGTATTAGAGTTCATTAGTGTTAGTGCGTGTCTGTGTGCGGATGCAATCAAGTTGCTGCAATGAGGAACAGTTTGGGTTCGGAAAGGGGCTAGATGTTTTCTCGTCCACGCAGGCGCTTCTGCTGCGAAGAACGAGCCTCGCTCCTTATGTTCCGTTCCTGCTGGTCGCAGCCTGATTGTATCTTTGCCAGGGCCATGACATCTCCCAGAGTGTTTTTGTCCACTCATCTTGTCCTTCTTCTTTGTCTTCCTCTCGCAACACGTCCCGTGGCCCACCATCGTTCGCGCACATGCCGCGCGCCATGATGCGGTAATCACCCTCCAGCTGGTTCCCCTCTTCGGCGCTCCCGGGGGAGGCAGAGGTTGCCTGAACGCGTGTCCTCGCTGCGCGCGCGTGCTCGCAACGGAAGGGGGATGAGAAGGATCGACGGAATGAGGGGGAGAAGGAGCAGGAGGAAGGAGAGGGATCGACGGATAAGTTATAGCATAAGCGTAATATTTTGGACGTCCGCCAACATATCTTGGGTCGGCGCTGGGACCCCCTGGAGCGTCAGCGCCGACCAGGGACATCCGCGAGGACCTCCGAAAGTGTATGTTTATGCAGTCTGTTGTCCTTTCCGGGAGAGGAGGATGAGGAGAAGGAAGGAGGAGGAGGAGGACGACGAGGAGGAGGAGGTGGAGGTGGAGAAGGAGGAGGAGGAGGCGGAAGAGGAGGAGGAGGATGAGGAGGAGGAGGAGGAGGAGGAGGCGTAGGACCGGAAGGATGATGCGGCCAGGCGAAAGGGTAGGACAGGGAAAGGGGGGGTGCGACATCTGCTGCATGTACCTGGTTTCCGCCCCGCCGCCTGGTCCATCCCTCGACACATGGGCGCCTCCCGCCGCTAGGAGGCGCCAGGGTAACCAGCTAGGTGAGCTGATTTTCTTCCCTGTCCTTTGAGATCCTAACCTTTCGCCCCTCCTGAGCAGAGAGGGATGGGGCCGGCGAAGGACGACGAGGAGGGAGGGGAGAAGTCAAAAGAGGAGGAGGAGGAGGAGGAGGAGGAGGAGGAGGAGGAGGAGGAGGAGGAGGAGGAGGAGGAGTACGAGGAGGAGGAGGAGGCCATCTTGCCCCACGCGGAGCGTATCCGTGACACCGCGTATCCATGGGACCGCGCCCAGGACTCCCGACCTCGACGGCGTGGACTCTCGCCCAGGCGCCGACCCGAATCCGCTTAAGCACCCAAGAGGGGGCCAACGGAACTCCTGGAGCTCCCCCGATCCTCGCAAGGAGGAACCTCTCCTTTTCGGCCCTCGAGCCCGGAGCCTCGGCCCTCGGATGCCCCGATCCTCGAAACCCCTCGGCCCTCGATGCCTCGGCCCTCGACGACTCGAGCCTCGAGCCCCCCTTGGCCATCGTGACCCCTGGATCCCCCGAAGCCCCCTCGACCCGCCCGCCGCGGCCCTCCGCGTCAGCGCCCAGAGCCGTGCCCGCCAGCCCGCCCCGGCCGCGAGGCGCCGCCGCAGGACAACAAGTTCTTCTGCATGCCGGGCTTCTGCTGCCACAAGAGGGACGAGAG